CCCTCTCCCTCTTCCTCTCCCTCTTCCTCTCCCTCTTCCTCTCCCTCTCCCTCTCCCTCTCCCTCTCCCTCTCCCTCTCCCTCTCCCTCTCCCTCTCCCTCTCCCTCTCCTCTGCCCAGCAGCAGTCGTTCCCCAACTCCGTGGTCGTTCCCACTGGTTGCCACTTGCCACTGACAGATTGCGTCCCCGCCAGGGGTCCTTCTAGGGTCAGCTTACGAGGCACCTGTTGTGTTGACCCCTTTTTATAATTATGACCTCTGTGGGTTCGTGGGTGGTTGGTGGTTGCCCTGGTGTCGTTTGCCCTTTCTTTTTCTGTCAATTGTCTCTCGTCCTTATATATCTCCTCCTTCTTTTGTTTGTCTTATGTTACTCTCATAGTGTAGTTTTAGTAAGAGTTTAACGGCACGTGCAACACAATAAGGTCATAATGTAAGTGCTGAAGATTAGAGTTGTTACAAGAGAGTAACAAACATAAAAAATATGAGGAGAGATCAGGATTGTATAATAATGTTTGATAGGAAAGAAGGAGCAAACAACACCAGCACACCCGCCAACCACCCACATGTTACTCTCTTGTAATACATCTAATCTTCGGCACTTTTATGATCTATTTGTGGTGCAAGTGCCGTAAAACTCTTGCTTAAATTTAACTAAGAAAGGAATACCCGGGTTGCTGGAAGTCCCTTTTTACTCTTTGTCAGTGGTTTTTGTTTTTTTGAAAAAAATCTACGTTGGTCTTTTTGAGCACGGTATGGCTATTATCATGTAGAGGCGCTACTCGTTACTGAAACGAATTATTAATTTATTCATTACTGCACAGGTGACCTCTGTTTCTAGTTCATGGCACACACTAACTATTGAAAGGGGACTAACGTATTAAAAAAACAACAACATGTGAGCAAGCTGTATGTTGTTGTCTTATTTTGTTTTGTTTGTTTTTGTTGTTGAGAGAGATTCGAATAGACACATTTCGTAGATGACGTTGTGTAAGCGCCCCCCCCCTACCCTCAAGTAGTTTTTTTTGTTGAGTATCTCTGTCTTTCAGAGCTCTCTCTCTCTCTCTCTCTCTCTCTCTCTCTCTCTCTCTCTCTCTCTCGCTGCGTGTGCGTGTGCGCGGTGTCACTCCCTGTCGCTCGTTTACTCTCTACATCTATCGGCTTGGTGCTGCCGCTCCGCCTCATTCCTTCTTTCTTTCCATGCCCCTCCGTGTGTTTGTCTGTCTCTCCCCCCCCTTTCTCTCTCCCTGTCTCTCTCTCTTTTTCACTCTCTCATTTCTTTCCCCTCTATGTCTGTCTGTCTGTCTGTCTGTCTGTCTGTCTGTCTGTCTGTCTGTCTGTCTGTCTATCTGTCTGTCTCTCTCTCTCTCTCTCTCTCTCTCTCTCTCTCTCTCTCTCTCTCTCTCTCTCTCTCTATATATATATATAGATATATATATATATATATATATATATGTATCCCGCATTGTGTCAACTGCCAACTCCTTCTGTCTTGTCCCTTCATTTTTTCGCCTCATGTAGTCCTTCTGAACCATCTCCGTCTTTCTGCTGGGATGTATCCCAGAAATTCCGCCTGGTGACGACAGGCAGGGCCGAAAGCAACTCACCCGCCGAATGCTCTAAATCAGTGCTCCTCAACATTTAAATAGCTGGTGGTACCCACTTTTGCCACTTTTAAGCGGGTGGTTGAGGGGCGCCACTGGTAGGTCCTGCTTTTTTACTTTGCCTCTATTGTTATTATCTGTCTTTCTTACTTTTTCCACAGTACTTAATGACAGTTATTGTTTCAGTGTGATTTTCTTTACTCAAATACACACACCCACACGCCACCTTTAAGAAGTTAAAATTTTCATACCATCTTCCTCTATGTATTTCCAAGCGGGGCTTTAAGTAAGTCTTGCCACTACCCGGATGATCCCCCCCCCCCCCCCCCTCGCCCACGACAATTACCAGATCGCCCACAAGCGGGCGATACCACTCAGGTTGGCAATCGCTGATCTAAATTGATCAAATTATCAAACCCACTGGTGTTCCTAACATTTTCACTCCGGCGCTGTTCTGATACATGTATTTCTCGGTCTCTTTAGCTTTCAGCCGTGGCACTAAATGAAGCAACCTGCCTAGCGGGTGGTTGGTGGGTGCTCTGGTGTGGTTTACACCTTCTTTCCTATCAAACATTTATTATCGCCCTGATCTCTCCTCTTTTTTTTGTGTTTGTTCTATTGTTGTAGTAGTTACGCCTCTAATCTTCGGCACGTATACGACCTTGTTGGTGGGTGGTTGGCGGGTGTTCTGGTGTGTGTGCTTCTTCTTCTTTACTATCAAAAGTCTGTCGTCTTTTTCTCCCCTCCTTCTTTTTTGTGTTTCTCTCTTGTAACACCTTTAATCTTCGGCACTTATATGACCTCGTTGGTGGCTGGTTGGCGGGTGTTCTGGTGTGGTTTTCTTCTTCTTCTTTACTATCAAACGTCTATCGTCTTTATCTCCCCTCCTTTTTTTGTGTTTGTTACTCTCTTGTAACACCTCTAATCTTCGGCACTTATATGACCTTATTGTGTTACAAGTACCGTAAAATTCTTACTAAAAATAACTTTTCCACTACGATACTGTTCTGATATTTCTGTGTCTCTTGCTCGTAGCCCCGACACTAAATGACCCTTGTCCTGTAACGGTACTTACGTTTTCGTTTTACGCCAACGAGCTAAATCATGTGGAGGGTGGATCACACTTTGGTGGAAGGGGGGGGGGAGAGAGACTAGGGGGACGGAGGGGCCCCCCTCCGGCTCTCCTGGGGAAATTTTGAAAGAAAAGGGACGGGAATTTTCCAAAAAATTGTTTTGTGGACTGAAGACATTTGTTGTTCTGTCCGTTTCTTGCCCCCCCCCCCCCCCCCGCCTCTCTCTCTCCCTGTCTCTCTCTCTTTCTCTCTCTCTTTCTCTCTCTCTCTCTCTCTCTCTCTCTCTCTCTCTCTCTCTGTGTGTGTCTGTCTGTCTGTCTGTCTGTCTGTCTCTCTCTTTCTCTCTCTCTGTCTCTCTCTCCCCTCTCTCTCTTTCTTGCTTCCGGTAGGCCGTACTTCTTTACTTTCCATCTGTTGTTTCTGTTTGCCTGTCTTACACCCCCCCCCCACCCCACAACCGCACTAATTGACCGTCATTGTGTCGGTGTGCTTCTCTTTCCTCAAACAAACTCACCATCTCTCTCTTTCTCCCTCTTTCTCTACTTCTACCTCTCCCTCTCTCTCCTTCTCACTCCTTTTCTCTCTCTCTCTCTCTCTCTCTCTCTCTCTCTCTCTCTCTCTCTCTCTCTCTCTCTCTCTCTCCTGTGTCTCTGTGAAAGGCTGGAAGAACTCAACTTGGTGGGTCCTCCTTTTTACCTTTCCCATTGATGTCTATATTGGGTATGAACTCTGCCATGGTCATTAGGTCATTGTCGAGTCCACGAGCTACTTTGTACTCCATTAAACTGCGCCCACACGTATGCACACACGCTCACACATCTATCCCCAACTCTCTCTCTCTCTCTCTCTCTCTCTCTCTCTCCCTCTCTCTCCCTCTCTCCCTCTACCCCCTCTCTCCCTCTCCCTCCCCTCTCTCTCTCCCTCTTTCTCTCGCTCTGTCGCCCCCCCCCCCCTCTCTCTCTCTATCTCTATCTCTTTTTTCTCTCTCTTCCTCCCCTCCTTTC